GGCTGGCAGCAAGTCAGTCGCACCTTGTGGTCAGTTGCCTTGAAGCTGCAAAGGAAACAGACCATGTGGTATTGCTGTTTTGCATTAGTGCTGTGGGCAGCAACTCTTGATGAAGGTCGCAGAAGAACGTTGTATTCCGTCCTTGAAACTTGAGGGGAAGCCGATACATTCAAACCACCTTGTGCTGTGACTGCCAGAACGTTCTGCTGATGTCCTTATAGCTGGCAGTCCCTGAAAACACCATGGCATCCTTCATGTGAGAGAAATGCTGAGCCCTAGCTACCTTCTGGTACATCCTGCTTCTCTCTGTTTTCCCTGCTGTCCAACACGGAAGGGTAATCTCTTCTTACCCTTAAGCAAAGCACAGTCCTGCTGTACATGAGCTAGTCAGATTTTGGTTGTAGACAAATACCAAATTTTACTTTCCCCTTCTGTGGGTGTTTGTAGGGCGAAAGTAACTTGAGGCTTTTAGAGTGTTTAGAGGCACTGTGGCTCCAATGCATGTTGCAATTCCTGTGCCCTGAGGATGGCAGGTAGATCCTAGTACTTCAGAAATGTGGAGCCTCTTTGTCTCTAGCTGGGCCCTCCGTGTGGGGTGGGGAGGTGGAAGTCACGCTGGATTTTAATCTGCCATGTAAAAGAGATTCTAATTTGAACTGTTGCTTTGTGTTGAAGTGTCTGAGTGATGGGCAAATATGTTACTGCATGAGTGTTACAGGATAACTTTAGCCCAAGAAGAAGAGCATTTAGGTATCGGGAAAACCAGAAACCTCTTCTCTGACTTGTTCTCCGTAGCAGCTGTTCTCCTGTAACCATGGGAGAGGTCTACGGAGTCTTGAGTCCCATGCCCTAACAAGATGGATCCGAGTGGCCTGTTGTGTGGCCTCTTGCCAGTGTTCTCCAGAAGAGAACGTTGGGACTGGTGAACTGCCAGCTCTTCTTGGTGCATGTTTCTCTCTGGCTTCTTGAAAAATAAGTATATGATTTCTGGATGGTATAAATCAACTGGTCACTTGATATAATGGCAAAGTAAAACAGTAACAGGTGCCTGGGGATAACTCATGTACATACCACTTCTAGCTTTCCTCCTTCTCTGAAAGCCCCTCCCCTGCATGGTAGAGACAGAACGTCAAGCAAGAAAATATCAAAGGGATCCCTTACAAAAAGAAGCTTTCAGCTTGTCTAGCCAGGACTGAATGTTGCTGAAGTGGTTTATAACTACGTGGTCCCTAAAGAGCTTTGTCTTAATGGAGCTGACTGTCCATATCCCTTCTGGCTTTTTCTTCTACTTGAACATTAAAGCTTTTCTTGCTGCTGTTTTTAACCTGACAGCAACTTGATCACTCTCCTGAAGATCAAGTTGACTTTTTTTTCCCCTCCTCACTCAAAATTGTCAGAAGGGAAATATCTCTTGTTGTTTCTTGTGTTCCTGGTAACTGATGGCTGCTTTGTGTTTGAGCACCTGGGCTCTTTTATGGCAAACTGAGATGTCTCCCCAGCTAGTATCTCCTTTCTCATGTCCACCACATTTAAATGTTTTGGATGGGGAGGGTGGGTAATAACATCATCCCTGCTGGCCTTTGTCTCTAACTAGCTACCACTCAGATAAGTTTTTTATTGCAATGCTGATCAGAGGATATGGGAAGGGATGGATGACTGCTGGTATTTAGTGTCTTGGCTCACCCAAGGGTGCATGAGTGCTCTCCGCTCCCTGATAGAGGAATCCTTGGCATGTAAGAATGAAGGTGGTTCCCAGGGAAGAGATTTTTGAAGAGGACACACCTTGCTTCTTTGCTTCCACCCTTTCAGGAGGGGATAGAAAACGGGTTCATGTTCCCACTCCCTAACAAAGTCAGCTGAGCAGTGAAAATTGCCTCCTGGGACATGTCAGCAGTGGAACAGCAGAGGGTACTGCAAGGCCAGCTTGCTTTGGCAGAGCTACAGGGAAGGGCTGCTGAGCACACCAGCTCATCTCTCCCCGGCACAGACTGCAATAACGGTGCCTAGGCAGCGCAGCCATGCGCGGGGCCAGTTGTACCAGTGGGTGAAGTGCTGCAGAGCCACACGCTGAGCCTGACAGATATTGATGTATGCAAATGTCAAGCAAGGAAAATATGCTTTGCTTCCTAAAATCATGTGTCCTGCTATGTTGACATGGCGCACTACATCTCAGAAAGTGGAGCAGTTTGTTGAATGTCAAGAGCTACGGCTTGTTGTCTGGGAATTTACCGTGGCACGTGGAGCATCACAGCCATCTGAGATGTGCCCTGTGCAATTCCCTCAGCAGCTGGCCCAGAGGAAGTTGGCTGCCCTGCATTTGTGTGTCCTGTAGGAACTGAAGCGAAGCTAGCATTACCTGGCAGCTATTGGCATTGGTGTATTGGAGCAGGTCAGCCGTTCATCTTGCCCAGGTTTCAGCATCTGAGAGAACGACTTGATGTCTGGAAGTAATGCCTTGGAGAAGGCACAAAACTCCTGACTGGAGAAAGCTGTACTCATTTACCAGTGAGGGACACTTTCTCCTGACAGCCAGTCACTGCTAATTTAGTGTTTTCAGCTTCCTTGTGCCCTTCTCTTCCCCACACTTCAAGACAGAGCAAAAACTGGTGACATGCAAGGAAAAGGCTCTGGATATTCCTCTCTCTTACAAGTGACCTCACTGCTTTGACAATACATTAACAGAGCCACAAGAAAAATAAATATCCTGGACACGAGATGCTCCTGGAAGTTTCTGCAGCCCATTGTTTTGCACACCCCACCCCCAAAGAAATCTTGACAGCAAGCCCCAAGATGGTCCTTTATGGCTTTCAACAAGAGACTATCCAGGTCCTTTATTGCTTGGCCACCACAGATATGACCTCCCATGAGTTGGGCCATGACCAGGCATGTGAGGTCAAGCTGTGGAGCTGTGGCAGGTGGGTGCCAGAGGTGAGGGCCTGCCCTGGCGTGGCTTTCCTAGGAAAACCACCATTTTCTCCCTACTCACCCACCAGACAAGACAGCCTCCCAGAGCTGAGCAGTGCCAGCACCCTGCCCTGCTGCTGACCTGTGTTGTGTCAAAGTATATCAAAGCCCACACTAAATATTAACCAATAGAATCAAGCGATCTCTGTTTTTCCTTGTTTATTTTTCTTTTACCCCCCCCCCCCCATGGCCATGCTGTAACTTTCCCATCAGCTTCATGCTTACAGTCCTTCCATCAGAGCTTGATGTGGCACTCTTTTCCCTGCCACCTGAGCACTGGAGACGGTGTCAGTGGATGGTGGCTCTCCCTAAAGGAGTGACTACAAAGTGTCCAGAAACAATTGTCACTGAGCTGTAAGGTACAACTGTGGACAACCCCTCTACCAAAGTCCGTGTCGGAGCCATCTGTGGAGAGCCAGATATGTTTTCCTTTGGGCCTTTGCCATCTGTCTAAATGCTTTATGGCTTTTCACTTTAGTATTAAATTCTCCTCAAGTTAATCAGTAAACGCACTTTGCTGTATTTTACTTAATACCCTCTGAAGCGGTGGGAATAGGCTGGGAGCTTCTTCCCTCTGCCCATGTGTCAGCCTTGAGGAGCCCTTGGGCAGGGCAGTGGACAGCCCTGTGTGGGGCTGCTGGTGTGGGGCAGCTCCCCTGTGCCCCCCAGGAGCAGGTACTGCCTCCTGCGAAGGCGTTGCTGGCAGCTTTACATGCCAGGTGGAAGGTTTGGAAGGGGTGGCATGCGGTGCCTCTCAGGAACTTTGGCCCTGGAAGGGAGACTGCGCCAGACCAGAGACCCACCATGGGGGAACATGCTGTGGAGGGATCAAAGTGGTAGGTGTCATTTGCGTGTGGGTCTCTGCCTCTTTGTCTGTCACTGCGTGGAGGGTTTTGTGCTCCAGCAAGCAGAGGACACCCCTCTGTGTTGCGAGGGGCTTTTGGCTGACCTTGCTCCCATATGCACTTTTGTCCCAACTTTCGTTTCCCTAATCAGCAGATGGTGAGCACCTTTTCTCCTTTTCCTTGGTGGAGCATTGTGTTAGATTAGATTTTTTTTCTCTTTCTTTTTTTGTTCCTTTTTCTGAATTATAGTCTTCAATCACTTCTCTGTCTGACAGCAGCTCTGCTTTGCCTGCCTGGGCTGGAGGAGGGGAGGTGGTGTAGGGGAGGATGAAGGCAGTAATTCATGTTGTTTGGAGGAAGGGCTCTGCACTGCTGGCTTCTTTCTGGCCTGTCATGGATCCATCATGATGGCACAATGTTACTGGCAGAGACAGCTAGGCATTTATTTCAGTCACCTTGATCCAGATGCAAAAACCCCTCAGCATCTGGTCCACAGAAAATGAAAAGCAAAGGGCAACATTTGGACATACAGCGGACTTGAGAAGGAAAGTAGAAGAGTAAAAGTGGCAGGATTTTAATTTTGTTTTCTTGTTCCCCATGTGAACTTGGGTAGCATTTCCTGGGAACAAGGGTGGTTTTTTAGGGTGTGTGTTGAGCAAACACTGAAAAGATCTGGGGAGTGTAGGCTGCCTCTGGCAGTCTGACTAATGATCTCGGTCCTTTAAAACTGCCTCTCTTACACTGGTCATGTTTCAACCATGCCCCCCACTACTCTCACCCTTCCTGCTCTCTGCTCTCGCTTCATTTTCCCCCAACCCTCTGGTAATGCACAGTCTGAGGAGGCCTATATTCATTTTGTTTCCATCAATGAATAGGGACAAATCTGCCAAGTGTGGTGAGTTCAGTAGATCATGATTTCCTGTTATTCTGGATTGCCTGTCTTTCTACCCCATTGCCAGTGCCTTTCTTGTCTTTGTGTGTGAGACTGTGACAGATTTAGCAGAGGTTCAGCTTGGTGTAACCCAGCTGAGGCAAAAGATGGCAGGGGGTGGGGGGAGTAGCTCTTGAATTCAAGTCGCTAAAGGTGCATGCTGAATTTGGACCAGCTTTCTGCAATCCCCAACCTGTGGTAAAACTTTGCACCTCAGTAACTACTGAATGTGACTTTGCTTTTCATGGCTCTTCCACAGGATGAAGATGAGACGCCATAAACTCTTTCTGACTCTCTGCATGGCTGGTCTCTGCCTCATCTCCTTCTTGCACTTCCTCAAGGCCCTTTCCTATGTCACCTTCCCCAGGGAGCTGGCTTCGCTTAGTCCCAACCTCGTCTCCAGCTTCTTCTGGAACAATGCCCCTGTCACACCTCAGGTCAGCCCTGAGCCAGGGGGTGCAGAGTTCCTCCGCACACCCCTGTACTCCCACTCCCCCTTGCTCCAACCCCTGCCTCCCAGCAGAGCCAGCGAAGAGCTGCACAAAGTTGAGTTCGTGCTGCCAGAAGACACAACAGAATACTTTGTCCGTACCAAAGCCGGTGGTGTTTGCTTTAAACCAGGCACCAAGGTGTTGGAGAAACCACCTGTGGGAGGTCGGCTGGAGGAGCGAGCAGATGGCGCAGCGTCGGGGCGATCAGCTCGCAAGCCACTGAGCACCAGTGGGACCAAGCGGCGCAAGTGGGTGGAGTGTGTGTGCTTGCCGGGCTGGCACGGCCCCAGCTGTGGGGTCCCCACGGTGGTCCAGTACTCCAACCTGCCCACCAAGGACCGCCTTGTGCCACGGGAGGTCCCCCGGAGGGTCATCAATGCTATCAATGTCAACCACGAGTTTGACCTGCTGGATGTCCGTTTCCATGAGCTGGGAGATGTCGTGGACGCTTTCGTGGTGTGCGAGTCAAACTTCACAGCCTACGGGGAGCCGCGGCCCCTCAAGTTCCGCGAGATGCTCCTCAACGGGACTACATCCGCCACAAGGTGCTCTACGTCTTTCTGGACCACTTCCCCCCCGGTGGCCGCCAGGATGGCTGGATTGCTGATGACTACCTGCGTACCTTCCTCACCCGGGATGGCATCTCTCGCATCCGCAACCTGCGCCCGGATGACGTCTTCATCATCGATGATGCCGATGAGATCCCTGCCCGTGATGGCGTGCTCTTCCTCAAGCTCTATGATGGCTGGACGGAGCCCTTTGCCTTTCACATGCGCAAATCGCTCTATGGCTTCTTCTGGAAGCAACCAGGTACCTTGGAGGTGGTCTCGGGCTGCACCATAGGGATGCTCCAGGCTGTCTATGCTACTGACGGGATACGTTTGCGACGCCGCGAGTACTACACCATGCCTGGGTTTCGGCAGTATGAGAACAGCACGGGACACATCCTGGTGCAGTGGTCTCTGGGCAGCCCCCTCCACTTTGCTGGCTGGCACTGCTCCTGGTGTTTCACCCCAGAGGGGATCTACTTCAAACTGGTGTCAGCCCAGAATGGGGACTTCCCCCGCTGGGGTGACTATGAGGATAAACGAGACCTCAATTATATCCGGGAACTGATCCGGACTGGTGGCTGGTTTGACGGTACTACACAGGAGTATCCCCCTGCTGACCCCAAGGAGCAGATGTATGCTCCCAAGTACCTGCTCAAGAACTACCAGCGGTTCCGCTACTTGTTGGAGAACCCCTACCGAAAAGCGGAGGGTGCTGGGTGAGGCTGCCAAGGCTTGGGGCTTGTGTGGGAATCAGAACTTCACAACAAAGGGAAAGTTTTTGTCTGTTCCTTGTTTTTCTTTTGTTTCCTTTGTTTATGGGCAGGGTGTGCCATTTCTCTGGGGTCTCTGCCCTCCCTCCCTTCCTGTTGTTCTTCCCTTCATCCCAGGGTGATGCCTGGGGACCCAAATTCCTCAGTCACATGAAGAGAGGCCTGGGCAGGAGGAGCAGAGATGTCGGGGACCTGCTCTGGTAATAGCATAAAGACTTTCTTGCATCTTTTGAACCTCTCCTGCTGGCTGGAGAGCATCTCTGCAGCCAGCAGGCAGATGTTCCTCTGGGGCAGACTGGGAGGGTCCCATGGGGAGAGAGGGCAGCTGTTCCCATCCACCCTCATCCTTCTTGGATTGGAGGAAGCACAGATGCAAGCCTGGGCTATTCAGTGAGCGTGTGAGTCAGCAGGCACAAACCGATGTGAGTGGTCAAATGTGCAGATGTGTGTCACTGGTAGTTTTTGGATGAGTGAATGTGCAAAAGCATCTCATTATGCATCTATTTTTTGTATGCCTCTGTATTTAAAGAGTATTTTGGGGAAGGGAAATCCTTTGCTTCCAAGGTGTCCTCCCCAAGATGCAGCCCCCTCCATAGGCTTAATGCATCTGTCCTGGGCTGTATTTTGTCCCAGTGCTCTATTAATCCTGGAGCAGGCAGATGGGAAGCAGAGGTGAGAGCTGGGTTTGATTTCTTTTAACTCCTTTTCCACCCCTGCCCCCACAACACTGCACTGGCTTGGCCCACAGGAGCCGAAGCATCTTTCCTACAGTATGTGCTTCTGTTGGCACCGAGATAAGCTGCAGGGAACTCAATCAGATGGTGGGAGTGTATGTTTGCAAGTGCATGGTTTCCTATGTGCATGAGTGCTAACATGCATGGGTTTGGTATGCATGTGGGTGTTTGTTAGCAGTATTGGGGGGGAAGGGGACATAGCTGGGCATGGGTGTGCTTTCAGGAAACGGTGGGATCCAGCAGCTGTGATCTGTTTTGGCATGGATGACTTCTTGGGAAATTCACAGGAGAGGTCCAGGGCTAGCACTGTCTTTGCATAGTAGTGCTACACATGTGGGACTGCTGCATGCCTCTCTAGCTGCCTCTGCAACCTGCAGGCTGTGCCTGTTGCAGGGCTGCTGTTTACAACGGCTGGCTGTTCCCTCTCACTGTGGGGTAATAAAAGGGAAAAGGGCAAAGTTCTGAGTCAGCAACAGTTGTTGTGGGAAAGCACAAAACCTGTCAAGGCACAGGATCCATCTCTCTGCTCTTAAGGTGTGAGTGAGCTCATGAAGAACCAGGCTATGGGCAGATTACTCCTGGGGCCAAGAGACCTTCTTTGGGATCGCCATGCAATCCAGAGAGTGTGCGCAGCCCACATCTGCAGCTTAGACCATGCAGAGGAGAGGGGATCTAGAAGGACACTAGTTGGTGCCTGCTTAGTTTGCCAGGAATGAGTAGTGAGGATCTGGCCTGTTGTTGTATTGGATTCAGCTCATTGAGGAAACAGATTCATGTCTCCACCCTTACCACCCTTCCTTAGCAGATGGTTTGACAGGGTGCCCAGAGCCTGGGCCATAGCGGGTAGAGGGTGAAAAACATGAACTTGCTCTCTTAGCCTTGCAGTGGAAAGACTGGCTCATGATCCAAGCAGAGAAGTGAGGATCATATGGAGGAGGAGGAAGAGGAAGGGTGACCCTTCTGGCCAGCTGTTCTGAAGCAGAAGGGTTTCCATTGCCCTTAGCTCCATCAGGGCTCCATATTCCTGTGTTGTCCAGCATGTGCCATTCTTGTGCTTCATTCCTATCTCCATTTCTCTTTTTCCCTCCTAGTCCCCTCTTCAGAGAAGGGGAAAACATCAACAAAAGTAACTTGGTTGCCTAATGAGGCTGAGAATGGAACAGAATGAAGATGAATGTCTTCTGATCAAACTGAGATGCAGTTCATCTTAGCTCCTTCCACTTCTCATGTGCCATAATGCCTACTTAGAAGAATTGAAGGAACCCCTCTTTTGGTTGTTGCTTTTGCTTGCCTTTCTTTTAAAAGTCACTTTTCTTCCTTCTTTTGCATCTTCCCCACAGGCAGAGAAGCTCCTTTGGGAACTGGGTGGAGAGAGAAGCTTGGCTAGGCAGAATGCTTTTCCCCAAAGGGAAACTGTGTCATTTCTAAGTCCTGACTTGTTGGTACAGCAAAAAGGACTCTTGTCACAGTCACAGTGTCCTAGTGTCAAGTGACTGTGTGGAGATCTTGGGTGTAGAGAGAATACAGAGGAATGGGGACCTAGCTGAGAAAGGAGGAGCCTGTGTTGAGCAAGATGAAATCCATAGTGCTGAGGCTGTAGCACAAGGGGAATATGCTTTCCCCAGGGAAAGCTGGAGGAGATCAGGTGTGTTAGCTTGTGGAATTCAGCAGCAGAAAAGTATGGGAGGAAGAAGCTGTTTTTCATTTGTACTCTTGGGAGGGAGCCTGAGGTCTACTTGTGTACCTTTAGCTTTGCCTTGTCTAAGTGATAAAAACACAAGGCCAGTGCCAGGCTTTGCTGGCGACAGAAGAGAAGGACAAGTCAGTCTTCGCACGGGTGCTTTGGCAGCACCAGAGCCCCATGAAGCAGGGGCTAAAGTGCGTGTGTGCTGGGGCTGCTGCACCTCGTTATCTTCCACAGCAGGAGCAGCCTCTCCTCTGATACCAGCCCTTCCCATGCATGACTGTCCTTGGGGATTTTTAGTGCACTTCAAGTCACGTTTTCAGTGTTGACATATGGCCTTTGTCTCTTGGGAGTTTCAGATAAGCCCACAGCTGCAGTATCTGCATCTCCTATTCCTGAACTACAGCCTGTTGCCTTCTCTCTTCCATTATTTGCTCCATTCTCCACCTCTTCCTCTGAATTGTCTGTCCTTTCTGTCCCCTTGGACTGGAGGAGAAGGTCCTGCTGCAATAGCAGTGCTGGGGCTCTTGTGTGGGACTCTGGCCCTTCCTGCCCTCTGGACTTACTTTCTTACTCTTAGGAAATTAAATTTAAACCAGACTTCTGCTGTGGGAGGAAGGGGCTTTACAGATGAAATGCATTCTATTTTGTTCCTCTTTCTCAGGAATTGTTTAAACATTTTTTTGATTTAGGGCCAAACCAGTCAATGTTTCTGTCTAATTGGTCTGGCTAACCCTGTGTTTATTATCCTTAGGGAGCTAGAGTGCTTGTCATTAAAAATCTTCCTTCTTGTCCCTGGAGGGAACAGGGGCTAGTAAGCTGACTTTTGCAGAGTGATTTTCTGAGGTGGTGGCTTTGCCCTCTGTTCAGCCTTGCCTGTTCTGCTGCGCTGGGACCCCTGCAGCCAGCACATGGTGGGAACAGCCACCCCTGCAGACAACTGCAGCAAGAGGGAACTCAAAATCATGGGGCTGTGTGAGGTAGTGAGAGAGGCAAAGCAACAAGCAGGTTTGTATTAGATCATTTTTTCCCAGTGCTGAACTCTGAGGTGAGCATTGAGACTTCTTCATCTTATTTGAACCAGGTTCCTAGATTTGAGAAGGGAAGGATCCCAAACCCTGTCCTGCTGCTGGGCTGATATCTGTGGGTTGTTGCAGCCATGAGCAGTGAAGCCATGTGCCCACTGTCTCTCTGAGAGCAAACTGTCTGGAGGAGGGCGGGAATGCAATGCCAGCCTTTCCCTGCAGCCCTCTTCATCTTTGTGCTTTTTCTTTCCCAAAACCTTTCTGCCTTTAAATTGGTGTGAAGAAGGGCCAAGTAGTAGGTGAAGCAGGGTGTGACACACCCAAGCCCTGCACTTCCTTCTGTCTGTCTATCTCTTGTTTCTCTTCATGCTTCCCACCTAAAAAAGTGATTGTGTGCTCATGCATAGCTTTGGACTGGAGAACTGATCATCTTCCTTCTTTGCCCCAAGTGAAGGGAAGGACATGGGCTTTGGTGGACCTGCAGCAAGTGAGTTTGTTAAAGCAGAGAGAGTAGGGCAGGTTAGACACCTTTGCCCCTCTGGGGGTAGTGCTATACCCAAGTGACAGACAGAAAAATGGGGTGATTTTTGTGCCTGTGTGGTTGGTATGAAGGACGACACACTCAAGCCCACTCTTGCTGTTGCTTTCTCTGATCCCTGTGTCCTGCTGAGGTGTTTGCTATCATGGTGCTCCGGCCATCCTGCTCTTCATGTCTCTGTGACAGGTAAACAAGGAAACCTTGTGGCCTCTAGGTAACATATGAGTTGGGGTGGAGGCAGAGTATCAGAGCAGAATGAGTATTCATTCCCCTCTGCCCCCCTTGGTGTATCCTTGTGGGATGGTAGTGTCTCTTCCCCTCCTGAATATCCTCCAGGTTCTCTCTTCCTGTCTCCCAGCTCCTGCCAGCAATCTCCATGGCTGCTATGCCTCTGCACTGTGAAGACACATGTCCAGGGTCACTCCTGGCCCAATTAGTGAACACTGGTGGTGAAGAGGGAAGGGGTTGGCTCATCCTGGCTTCACTGACCTCTAACCTTGGTAAGAAAGGAGGGAAATGAGTGGGAGAATGGATCCTGTATCCCTCCATTGTTGTATTCTCCCCACCCTCCCAAAACCCTTCTTTTCCAATTTCTGAGACATTGTACCAACTTGCTCTTGGTATGGAAAGAGAAGGGGAGCTGGAGGGTAAGAGGGTGGCAGGAGGGGCTTGGATCCAGCACCGAGAAAGGAGAGCTGTTTCTAATGCAATACACTGACATTTTAAAGCTTTGGGGACTACAGATAATGGATTAAGAAGGGATCTGAAAGACTCTGAGACTAAGAATTCGAACCACTGTTTTTTCCTTCCTGTGTGGATGATGATGCAGTATCATCCTGGAAGTGGTCCAGCAGCACTTCTGAGCCTGGGGTCCACCTGGACCTGCTGGTGGTGTTGCCCCTGGAGTGGCTCCAGAACACCCTGCTTTGGCAAAAGAATGGGTGGACTTGCCAAAAAAATCAAAAGAAAAGTAAAAATAAGAGCATCTGCAAAGCTCCTTTCCACTCTGTAATTTATAAACAGCAAGTAAT